TCCGTTGAAAATCAAAATGGAGGTGAAAACCCTACTACATCAACCTATGATGGTTTGATAGAGAGAGAGGCAGCGGTGAAAGTCATATGCCCACACACTGTTTGCAGGGCTAGGAGATAAAATGTACAGTGACTGACATTAAAGGAAAAAAAAAAACTGGGTTATAATTCCTTTATTGGACTTTGTAAGAGGCTAACGTGTAGTGACCAAAGCACATTGACTGTATGGGAGGCCAGCCCATATATCACCTGCTTTGAAAGGCCATGAAAAGCTTCCAAGAAATCTACAAACATGCCCTATGAAAATGTCAGCACTTGAATTTCTGTTCCTACAGAAACATGCAAGCCAGTCAGTGTGCATCAAGGGAAGACTGCAGTAGCATGAATGATTTCAGACTTTTTATTTCTTTTTCTGTTTCACTTCTCTCCATTCTAAAACTGGAAGATAGGAGAGATAGACATAAAAATTCAAAAATACATATTTTAAGGTGAAATTTTTAAATTAGTCTGGAGTGGACTTTTTCAATCATTGAGTTAAACAGTAAGGAGACTGGTACAAAGTATTATGAGGCCAAACATCAGGCCTACAGAGACTGTCTGAGCACAGTGTTTGGAGAAATATGATACTGTTGGCCTTCACATATGGTTAGATGCAAAACTTGGTTCCTATCTTAAAATAAGTAACTAGGGGGCTGGGAGATTGCAAATACCGGGTCCATTTCTGAAGACAAAAATCTTCCACAATTCTGATGAAATCGCAACAATAAAAACATTTTTTTTTTTAAAGCCTGGAGAAAGCAGAAAGAAATGTAATTTATTTTGTGGCTATTTCAAATAAATAGTTCAAATTTTTAGTCTATATTCAAATAAAAAAGTTTTAAATTTTAATTGAGGCAAAAAAACACAATCGATCTCATTTTTATATGTGGGTATGTACACACACACACACACACACACACACACACACACACACACACTCACTTCCCTGGTGGCTCTGTGGTAAAGAATCCACCTGCCAATGCAGGAGACGCAGGTTCAATCCCTCGGTTTGGAAGATCTCCTGGAGAAGGAAATGACAACTCACTCCAGTATTCTGGCCTGGAAAGTTCCATGGATAGAGGAGCTTGGTGGGCCAACCCTTGGGATTGCAAAAGAGTCACACATGACTTAACGACTATACAGCATATATATATATATACATATATATATATATATATATACATATACACATATCTCTGAAGCAATATTCTTGATCATATTTCTTCTCTATATGAAAGATTTGGAGATTATATACTTAATAGTATGCACTGAAAATTGGGAGGAATTTGCAATATTTTTACATTTCAAATTTAAGAACAAAAAAGAGAAGATATTTAGGAAGAAGGGGGAAACTGGCTCAGATGAGTTCCTTTTGTATGATGTAGCCCCCAGTTGCAAAATGGAATACATAGTGGTCCAAAAGGCACTGAAGAAGCAACATATAATGATTACACTAGAGAAAAGGTAAAGCAACGGGGGTCTAGGCTCTTTGGAAAACAGATTACCAGCAGGTGCACAATTCCATCAAGCTCTGCAGAGAACATAGATGACATGTGCAGAAATATGCTGCATTTGTCCCCGCTTCATGTGGCCATCACCTCCACTAAATACCTGTATGTTTGCCCACTTACATTTGGAGTTTATTCTGACCTTTAATTGTTAGTATGTTACTGTCTCTTCTGGCCAATTTTCTTCCTTCAAAAATATTACATAATATTTCAGTCTTCTACCTAGAGAGCATGCTCTAAGGAAAGCCAGAGCAAAAAGCTATAGACGATTAATCCTGCTTTGATATATTTCACATGTGCCCGTGAGTACGGCTCTTTTTCATCCCCTTTTGTCATTTGTTGTTTACTCAGTTAGTTTTACTTTTGATTTAGGAAACCAAAGGGAAACATTCACTTAAATGGCTCAGGGAAAGATGAGGCAACTTGGGAGTAACTTAGAGCCAGCACTTGAAACCCATATCAACCGCACAGCAGGGGCCGAGCCTGAGCGGTTTAGTCATCGCCTAAGCACCAGAACTGAGTTTTGTCAGGCACACACTTATGGGAGTGCTCTTCAAATGCCATTTGAAAGGCTAGGGCTAAGCCGGGAACTCTGGGCTCTCTGAAAGGTATCTACTTAGAGCTTTGTAAACATGTGTGCTATCCATAGCCTTTGGAGATTCAGAAGAGCCACATTTTTGTGACCTACCACCAAATTAAAACATGTTAGAGATCACGGCACAGAGTCAGTTTGGGTAAGTGCGGTTCTTTGATAGCCAGAAACTGGAGCATAAGGGGAAAAAAAGGACATCATGGATGTCTAAACATCTTATTATTTGGTATTTGATTCTCAGAATTACTGTGCTTTTTATGTATCCTGCTATTTCTTCTGAGTCAGAAAAAGCAGTGTCCAGTTTGATGTTTTTTCTCTCTCTCCTTCAAATTTTGAAACATTTTTGGTTAAATTAGCATGTGTCTTAAAATGAAACCATGTACAAGTCGCCAGGTCCAGTCTTTTGAGGTAAGAGCATGACTCAGTAGCTAATGGTTGGAAATGTGAAGAGGTAGAAATGGAGTGGCTATTGGGCTGGGAAACGAGTAACAACCAGACTGTCATTCCGCCACCCAGCAGAATCCGCAAACTCACAGGTCCCTGAGCCATACAAAGGCCGGACACGCACTCCTAAACTGTCTTCGTAGGAAGCCGACCCCTTTCAGGTGAAAACTGCTGACCACACCATAGACTGTTTGAAACCAGAAAGTTGATGATGCTTGAAAGTGCCCCTTGATGCCAATCAGTCTGAGAATGCCTGTGAGCTCAACACACCTTGCTCCTTGAAAACTGTAAGACTTCTCACCACCTCCTCCAGGGGTATCACATAGCCTTGAGCACATTAGCCCACTGGGGCCCCTCCTGCTTGGCCAAGCAATAAAGCTATTCTTTTCCACTTCACCTAAAAGTGTCTCCACATTTCTTCTGGCATTATAGAGTAGAGTCCTAGTTTCAGCAACAACACTTTCCCCCCGCCCCACAATCTTTCACGTATAATAGCCATTTTCTAAATGTATTCATTTTGATCTTTCCATGTAATATTTATTTTTATTATGTTAATAATCTAGCTGTATTGTTTTTCAATGTATTGCCTTTATAAGAAAAGAGAAACATTGATTCTTAAACTCATTACAAAGGAATCAAATAGAATTGACCAGTTAACAACAGAAAGAGTGACATAAAAATCCTATAGTAATATGCAAGTTAATAAAATTTTAAAACACATTAGTTAAGATTTGGCATGTTAAATTAAAATCAGAAGCAAAATATTCTGTTCTTCATTAAGAACATCTCAATTGTACTCTCAATGATTTTTAGAGAGTGGTGTGTAATATTATACAAGAAAATATTTATAGTGAGATTACATAAATAAATGCTGATGTTATTGCATATGGTGCTTATCAGCTGAAATAAATTTTATAGTCATATAATATATCTAGGTACCTGTGGCATTTTATCAGTGAAAATCATACATTCTTCTCTGTTGACACCTAAAAAAATGTCTAGTTAGATAGTTGCACAGTAATAAATATAAATTTTTTGAAGAAAAATAAAATATTGAAGTCTGTGACAATCATTATTATATTAACTCTGCAAGTTACATGATTTATCAACAGCATCTGATTTACACAAACATTTCCAAGTTTTTCTTTCTGTATTATTGATATTGCTTAATCATCTGCATCAAGATAAATGAAAGAGGTTCAAACATGATATGGATATCAAAGCTCCATTTAAAATACAAGTAAACTCTAACAGCTCAGAGGTCATTGGAAATATAATTACGGTCTTTTTTTCCTAGATTCGTCAGCTTCAATTTAGACATTTCTAAGTTTCTAAATCTCTCCATTTATCTTTACCAAGTCTTCAGAAAAAAACATAAATTTTTACCTTGCTAAGAAATGAGAATGGGAAATGGAACTTTAGAACTAAATGCAATATATGTTACATAGTGATTTAAAAAAAATCTTTGTAGGACACATATGAGCTAGAAAGTGCTAAGTATATTTCTATACATCCTTGTTCTTGTTTAAAATAAAAGGAGTTTTCAAACAGTTGCCATTGTGTGTCTATGATTGTGATAATATAAAATGTGAAAAAGGAACTGAAGCAAAGGTAACAAGAAAAAATGCCAAAGAATTCATCCAAATTGTCTTTTTCCTAAGATGATTTTCTTTCAAGTCATGTAACAATAAGCTTACTTTTAAAATCATCTTAAGAAGCCACATACTAAAAAAAGACATTAGCTATTACCATAGTAACTCTAATGTGTGTATTTTATTAAACAGCACAAAGTATCATAAAAGAGGAAACCATCCGCTTGCTTACATCCAGAAAAGAAGTAATTCAGTTTAGCTTTATGCTTGATTTTTATTGACTCGTCGAATATGAGTATGAATCTTTCCAGTCTGCAGAGGCAAGAGGAACCGCGAGGACCAAGCTCTAGCGAGCGGAAGCCCGCGTGTAGCTGACCGGGCACCCTCCGCTCCCCGCGCCTTTCTGCCCTGTCCTCCCCGTCGGGCCCCGTGAACAATTAAGCGAAAACGGTTTGTACTTTACCGATTTAATGTAAGCCTCGAGTCTCCGCTTCCTACCAGACAGGGATGTCCACATGGTGAACGGGCAATCCAGAGTCCTCGCTCGGCGACGAGTGAGTGTCACCAGCTTAAGTGACACGCTGCCTTCTAAGGGCATCACTTCACAGATTTCTCTTCGGCCTCTAGCGGTCAAGTTTCTAACCTCTCTACTGGATACCCCCTCAGCATGCAAGAACGGGGTTACGGCTACAGTCTTCAAAATAAGTAAACGAAAACTCCTCTTTTGATTTCCCATTTTTCCAACCCTATACTGCTGATCTCTGCAAGGGTTTCCAAAGCCAAGCATCTCTCTGCGAGCCCTGCGCTCACATGTCACCTGCTTGCATCAACGCGGCCGCGGCCGCAGCTCCGTCGCTCGGTGGGCAGTCCTGAGCCTGTTCTTCGCGGATGTAAGAGGAACCAGCCCGGGGCTGGCTGGCTGCTGAACCCGGGAAGAAAGTGAGCCTCCAACGCCGGGGTGGCTGCCTTGGGCTCCGCCGGCTCGTTCTCTCGGCTGACGCACGGCGGCATCCCTAACCCTGCCCGGGGTCTCCTGACGCTTCCCGAAGGATGGGGACGGAGGCAGGGGATACGTGGCCAACCTCTGCTCTGTTGATGGGCTTTTCTGGGAGCCTGTCTGCTCATTTTCTGAAAATATTTGTGCACGCGAGCATTTTTTGTCTATAAGAGCAGCCTCAAATGATCTACCCTTTTTTTTTACTTTTTCTTCTCTTATTCATATACAGTCTACTATAGCACTCTGTATTCTTTCAGAAAAACTCCTGCCCCAAATTTTCATCTCAGGCTTTGTTTTCAGGGGAGGCAGGAAATGTCATCTCTGTCTCTTTCTCTCCTCACCCACTCTGTGTGTGTGTGTGTGTGTTTTAATACATTTTCCTTAATTCTGCCCCTCTCCCTCGAAAATAATGCAAATTCCCTTAGGAAAACATTATTATTGGTTTTCTTTTTAGTGAGAAACATAGCAGGCTCTAATATGTTAAGTGAATGAATAAAAGTAAGTAACAGATCTTAGTAAATCTTTAGTGTACTAAATATGTAGATACTATTTTTTTTTCCTAAAACAAGATCTGACATACTATGCAGAATACTGAAGTCTTGGCAATAAAAGAAATATTCTGCTACTGAAAACTGAACATTGGAAATAAATTACAGAAAACTAATACAAATTCTTCTGTCTCACTTCAGTAATTCACTGTTTTTAAACCTTTTAGTAAATATAGCTTTGTTCCAGGTTAACAAGATCTTGTTCTGCAATTCTAAAATGGATATAGATGGCATCGTTATTTCAATGTTCCTTTCCCCTACTTGTAATGACATATTAAAATGACTACTTAACATTTGTAAATACAGAATAAAATAAACTTGATTTCAATATCACACTTCCTTTAAATAATGTCTGTACAGGCATTGTATTTTCACAAATATTGAAAATAAGTCAAACATTTTGAGTCCACATTTATGTGATTTGGACTTATTTTATGAGTATCATATTGTTAGCTATTAGATTATCTCTATTTTCCTTCAAATAATGCTGCAAATATTCCCTAATAAAAATTTAACTTTAAGATTTGATATTTGCTATAAAATTAGATATAAGATTTTCAAATCTTATATCTAATTTTAAAGGTTTTTAAAAATATCACATCCATTTATAATACTACAAACTTGTGGATGAATAAGTTTTCCCAGTACTATAAAAAATACTGGGTAAGACAATTTTTATTATTCTTTGCAAATAGAAAAAGCTTAATAAATTTCCAGTATTTTAACTTACACTTTATTGTTTACAAATAATGAAGCTGAACATTAATATTCTATTTTATGTTAATTTCTTGCCAATATAGCCTTAACCTGTTTTCATGTGGTTCTTACTCTTAACAACCCAAGAGGTATTGGCTATTAATCATCTTCATTTTACTGCTTGGAAAACTGATAGAAGAAAGTTATTCAGGGTCATGCTGCTGAACACAAATTTGGACTCAGGCACCTTAGCTCTGGAGCCCACATTCCTAGCCACTATGTCAAACTGTCTTCCTCTACGTCTAAGGTTTATTTCCTATTTTTTCTTTGATTCTTTATGTTTTTTCTATTTATTGTTAAATTGATAGATTTAACAATAAAGATAACTTTTAAAAAGACAAACATTTTAAGAGATTTTTAGGAGATGTAAAAAATCTTATATCTATATTTGATATTTTGATATCAAATCAATGTCAAAATATCAAATATCAATATTTGATATTTCCCCTCAAGAGAAATAAAGTAAGATCTTGTAATAGCTAGTCAAATTTTATGTTTCTTTTCTGGAAGTTTTCTCCAATTTTGCCATTTCCCTATGTTTGCCACTGTTTTAGACCCCAATAATCATTTCTAATCAATCTTTCTACATTCTGCAATTCACACTATTCTGGAGTTTGTTCAGGATTTTGCATAATCAATATTTATTTTTTTCCCCAAAGAGACAATTCCACTTTTAAATCCTGATTTCTCTAAGTAAATAAGATCATATATGTTATGTTTAAAATTGTGATAATTGTTGGTGCTGTTTTTTTAAAGATATAAACAAAGACTGCAAAGTTCACTCTCTAGAAAAAAGTTAATTTGTGATGGTTTTTAGTAGTCTTAAAAATTGGAAAGATCAAATCAGTTTGTATCCAAGTAGCCACTCTGATTGAATACTCGTTGCTGGGCTATCTTGTGTTCAACTTGCTGCTACTTAAAGCCAGGGTGTATATGGGTATGGGTAGTTGAAGCTTATATAATTAAGCTAATTATATAATTTTTTTGCTAATTAAAAAAAAGACATAAATACAAAGTTAAGGGCTAAAATCAATACTTATTAGCAGGTGAAAATAAATCTCATCAAATTAAAAGCAGCTTGGAGATACAGATTTCTTTCTTTTCAGAACTTGAGAGATTTTTGGAAAAAAGAAAAAAAGTTCTACATTGACTTGTTTCTGGAGAATAACCTGGTATCCCCTCCTAGGGTGGAATACTATTCACAGCAGGAAAGAGCTCTCACAGTGGTCCCAGAAGTAAGAAACCACGAACCAAAATTTTTATCAGTTTTCACAGCATATTTTCTTCTGTTTAAAGCTAATATTAAAATTCTTTGAGTTCCTCAAATAGATTTTCAAATCTTGACTCTAGATCATTGCATATATTGCTTCTCTGTATCATCTCCCCATATCATCCTAGAGTTCCTTGTCATATCATCTGATGACAAATGAAATATCTCTTAACCAGAGACCTTCCCTGATCTCTCTGCTTTTTATACTTGGCAAACCCACTTTCCATAAGTTTGCTTAAGTCTCAGAGTTTGCCTTTTGGAAATGAAATAATAAATTACAAAATTCATGGCTAACCATCTGTGATTACTCTTTGGATATACTTTTCCCCTGATGCGTGTTAAGCTCACTGTAGAATCCTCAGATTTTAGCACATCCTCTTGCACATAGAGGGAGTCTGAATTAGTGTTTTGAAATTAATTAGTAAGTAGCAATAATTCAGTAGAAAGCCCTTCGTAGGTCTGCAATATATTATTCAATTCCTACACCTTTATCTATCCTGATTCTCTGGGGGTCTTTACTCCTTGTGTTCTGCTCAGCAATTGTAATGAAAGGCATTTATAACATACTATAATTCTCTCTCCCAGCTACTCAAGGAGGGATGAGCCATTTACTTAGAAAACTCAAAGGAGTCTATGTACTTCTCTGCTTGTGCTGGCACCATTATTTAAATCTGGGAGATGATGACGTCCACTATCACGATTGGAAAGAGAAAATATGGGCAGAAGTTTACAGAAGCATGGACTATGCAATGGCAAAATCAGATCACTTACTGCAAAGGATCTTTCTAATTCAATCTCATTGTTTGATTTGAATTTTTCTTATACTTTGAGTGCATGACACAGGTGTCCTCTAAGTCAAATATATGTATAGTTTCATCCATTTTGCATTATACACACTGCTACTCCTCTTCATTAACATTGATAATTGAGAACTGACATACATATTGAAAGGCTTTTCTTAAAGTACTTTGAAGTCTGAGGAGATTAAACTATCTAGAAAATGTATTTATCTAATAACTCGTTAAAAGTAATCATACTATGATCTTTCCTAATGACCTTTATGCCATTAAACAAGAGCTAGCATTCATCAAGGCTGTCTAGTTACCAGAGGAGTAGTAATTCACAATAGAACAAACTCTGAATTTACAGAGAATTATAATTCTTTGTTGTGCTAAATGGAGTGCATCATTAACCACAATGAACCTTAAAAGAAAATGAAACAGAATCAAGACTGAGTAATGAAGAAACCAGGAGAGTATGGCTTCCATCCTGAATAATTAATCAACAGAGGCCTGATGCAAAATTTGAGAAGTACATGAAATGAAGTAAATGACTTGTAATTGATGTTAGCTTGGTTGTACACCATGTGTGTGCATTTTTGTGTGTGTTTAGACAAATACACACATATATGTTAACTTTACTCATTTATAGTTAAGACTTTTCTCAAATTAACAAAGAAATCTCTTTAATACTTCAATTATTAATATTTTGTGTGTTGCAATATTTTTCTACACTATATTCATGAACGGACAAAACACTTTGAGAATGTGTAAATATTTCTAACAATAAGACAACTCTACTACCATCAACTACAAGAAAATCTTACAAATCCAGCTCTTCTGTTTGTAAATGTGGTCATGTATTTTAATCATTCAGTATATCAGGCTCTGTGTCTTTGATTAATGAGGATACCTTCCTCATAGCTAATCCTTTTTAATAAAAAACAATGAATTTAGATGTAGGCCTGAATCACAGCTCTTCTTTTTATTAACCTTGTATATAAGTATTTTAAATGACAACTTAGTTGAGATAAAATTAACAGGTAAAACTCACCCTTTCATACTCTATAATTCAGCATGGCTTAATTTGTTTACAGAGGTGTTCATCCATTGCTGTTACTGGAATTAGTGCTTCCCCCGTGCCATACATTGTAAGCCACTGAATGTGTGTGTGTGTGCATGCGCACATGTGTGTACTCAGTCATGTCTGACTCTTTGTGATGCTATGAACTGGGGTCCTCCAGGCTCCTCTGTCCCTAGGATTTTCCAGGAGAGAATCCTGGAGTGGGTTGCCATGCCCACATCCAGGGATCTTCCCGACCCAGGGATCAAACCCACATCTGCATCTGAGCATTGGCAGGCAGATTCTTTACCACTGTGCCACCTGTCAATATCTAATTCCAGAACATTTTCATCAGTCCCAAAAGAAACTCCATACCAGCCAGCAGACACCCCCCAGTTTCTCCCCTTCAGGAGAACACATACGCTTTCTATCTCTAGGAATTTGCCTTGTATGTACATTTTTGTGAATTTTTTGAGGATTTTTTAAATATAGGTTATGTCATCTGCAAATGAAATAACTTAATTTATTTTTTTCTTGTCTGAATACCTTTTATTTCCTTGCCTAATTTCTCTAAATAGACCCTCCTGTGCAATATTCAATAGAAGCGGTGAGAACAGGCATCATTGTCTTGTTCCTGATCTTAGACAAAAAGCAGTCTTCTTGCATTAAGTATGATGCTACCTGTTTTTTCATAGATGTCTTTTTTTCATGGTAA